AGAAGCAATAGAATTAGATGAAATATCCTAAAAGATATTCTCTCTTATTTCTGCTTTGATTTGCCTATTTTCTTATTCTGCATTGTCATGGAGCCTGAGCTTGTAATCCCTCATACTTACTGAGGGGGGCACTGTTGGAGCATAGCCTGCCACAATAGCATCAAATCCACTCCTGGATCTAGGAAACATGACAAAGGGAGTTATTCTGAACAAAAACACCCAGTAAAAAGACTGGTGGGCTGGTGTCTGCATATTTTCATTTTTTTTGTTGTTTTTTTTTGTCCGTTGCACTCTTTGGATTTAGATTTGCTGACTATGCCACCAGGAAACTAGAGCATAAATTCACTTTCTTTTAATGTCATCCCTGATAATTACATAGTGGTAATATTTTGGCACAGCTACAGCTCATAATATTGTTAAAAGCCAGCTCTATGTCCTGATGGATATATTATCCTGATTAGATGAGCTCAGGACAGCACTGAAACCTAATAATATTGGATATCTGCAGAGAAAAATGACCACACCCAGCAGAGAGGATGCACCTCAGAGAAATTTAGTCCCCACTGTGAATCTTGTTTACCCATACAGGCAAAGTTGAACCATTTCCATCTCCATCTAAATGCATGTCCCCACTCAAATCAATGATGTCCAGTCCCTTCAGGGGGTGGATGGTGGAGAAGTAGCCTGCAGCTCTGAGCCTGCTGCAGATATTTGTAGTCACTTAACAGTTGTATTCCTTACAGAAGGAAAACAAAATCACTGCAGTAGAAACGGCTTCATTGTACCAAATTCCCAAAAATCTCTATGGGGGAAAAAAAAGAGAAAATGTTCACTCCCTAACTCCCTCCTGACCTAACTTCAGGAGAACAAAATGTTAGCTGTTTGTAACTTTTACTCCCCAATCAATACATCACAAAAGTGTTAAAACCCCTCATACTGAAAAGAACTCAGAAATCCTATCCTCCACATCCCAGAGGCAATAAAGACAAAGGTTCACGCAAGTGCCAATCTATAGTTTTGGACTCTTTGCAGCTTTTAGTTTTTTAGTGTTGATAGTTAAATATGATTTGTACTGCACAACAAAAAAAAGCCCACTTAAGCACTCGCCAATAAGATATGATTGGCTGTTAATCTAATTTAATATTGTTGTAAAATGCAGTACACACTAAGACAGCAGTAAAATAAATGGATCTGCTGCTATGTTTACATGATAAAAGGTGTCAGTGAATACGTCTGCATGCACATTACATTTCTTAGTTTCTTTGAAGGGACTTTTTGGAGTGACTCTATATGCTGCCCATTGAGATGATTATGCTCTACCCTAACAATTATAAGGTTGTTACAAAATATGTTTAGCTTTTCTTCTTAAGGTATCTAAACAATTTACACATGAAAAATGAAAGGACAGATTGGTAAACTGACACAGAAGCCAATTTTATCATTAAAAGCTATGCTAAAGAAAGTAAAGCAGGTATAAATGGCTTCAAATTAGATAAAGATTTGGCCAGTTTGGTCCTTTCTTCAGGACCATAGATGGGTCTCACACATAGATGGTGTTTGGAAGAATGCCCAGCAGTGACTCTTCTACATGTTTCTGCTATCACAGCTTTCTTTTTTTTTTCTTCTTTAAAGAAATGCATACACATACATGTGCATGGTCATGTTGCTCCTTTGGCACATGAACCTGAAGTCCAATTTCTTGTTTGTGCACTTAGTCTTTGCAAATAAAGCTCATTTTCATTGGGATTTTATCCAAAAAAAAAAGAAAAAAAATGATAAAGTACGAGTAATAAAATTTCTCCATAAGTTTGCAGAACATCAAGATCAGAACATCATTGGCTTTAGATTAAATGCAATTTGCTCACAGGCTTAATGAGGAGAGAAGGACACAAGTTTGAGATTCGCCACGCTCTGTAAGACTTTTGTTCACTTTGTTGGCCTATGTTAAAATATTAAATTAAAATATCTGGGTATAAAAAGCAAACATTGAGAACCTTCTGGTTTATTATTTAAACATTTGGAACAAAATAAAAAAAAATAAAAGTACAAAATAAATAACATTTTGAGTCAATAAAACATCGAAACACTATACTAAATAACTACATATAAATAAGAGAATAAAAAACTATATCTTAAATAAAAATTAGGTTATATTTTTGTAGGAGATAATATCAAATATGGCAAGGCAAAAATGGATTATAAACAAGCTTAAAAAAAAAAAAACACTCTATATTTTGTTATCAATTTTAACCTAAACAAAGCAGAGACATTTACAATGGATGAAGTGGCAGAAGCTGTGCATGAATCGCTTACATGGAGTGATCAATTTAGGAGCAACATTTTATGAGAGAAAAAAAAACAGAAAAACATGAAATTAAGAATTATGTTTATATGAAATTCACATCCTACCTTTTAATCAAGGGTGGAAGCAGTAACAGCTTTTCTCATAAATTATCTGGTCTCGTCTCTCCTGTCTGCAATCAGAGTTTGCTGCACAACAAGGCTGCCAAAATTGACCACATGTCAATGCTTTCCAAGCTGGATGGGGCTCACAGCAACACTTGCTGCTTATTGAAGACAAAAAACTCAGAGCAATCAGTGCTTTTACTTGTTGCATCAAAGTATTCAGCAATATAAATTAGTCACACACACAATGACTGTGCTCTACCTTGGCCAGTTGGCCCTATTCTGGCTGTTC